GTGTGCATGTGGGCATGTGTATGTGTGCATGTGTGGGTATACATGGGGGTGTGCACAGAGGCTAGTGGACAACCCAGGTGTTGTCTTCAGGAATGCTGTTGGCCTCCTTAGAATCAGAGTCTCTTCTTGGCCTGAAGCTCACTGATTAAGCTAGACTGGCTGGCCAGTGAGCCCCATGGGTCCTCCCGTCTCAGCTTCAGAAGCACTGGAATTCTGGGAATGCACCATCATGACTGGCCAGTGAGCCTCATGGGTCCTCCTGGCTCTGCTTCCGCAGCACTGGGATTCTGGGAATGATATCACGAGTGGCATTTTTAAGTGGGGCGGGGGTCAAATCGGGGCCTCATGCTCACAAGACATGTATTTTACTGAACTGAGCCCCCTGCTTGGTCTACTGAGATTTTAACAAACAACTCACTTTGCCAACAAAACTTTCACGGCATCATATAGTTTCACATTAGATTGGCTTAGAAAAGCTATTAATTGTCAATTTTTTTTTTTTTTTTTTTTTTTTTTTTTTTTTTTTTTTTTTTTTGGTTTTTCGAGACAGGGTCTCTCTGTAGTTTTGCGCCTTTCCCGGAACTCACTCTGAAGTCCAGGCTGGCCTCGAACTCACAGAGATCCGCCTGGCTCTGCCTCCCGAGTGCTGGGATTAAAGGCGTGCGCCGCCACCACCGCCCGGCTTAATTGTCAATTTTAAACAGTCACATGTCCCATCTGCTACTTGCGGACTATTCCATCCCGTGTTTTCATAACCTCAAGAAGCAGGAAGGGAAAACAGACCCGCAGACCTTGCTCACCCTGCTGGCTCCATCTTTTGAAGGAAGAGTGGTCCTCCCAAGCATTCAGACATTCCCCCTGCCACAGACAAACAATCCCACTTGAAGGAAAGGTGGTGGCGGGCGTTCTAGGCGTGTGAATGTGAGGGACAATGGGTAGCTCTGGCAGTTGGTGAGGCAGCAAAGTTGGGAAGTCAGGAAGGAAATATATTGTGGTTCTGAGGTGATGTGACTTCTCTCATACCCAGTGGTCTGTCTGGGTATGATGCCTCTATCTGATGGGACCATGACGCAGCCAAGCTCCACCCGACGCGGTCAAACAAAGGGACGTGACCTGTAGGTCTCAGCATAACCCTGCCCGGTGAGAACATGCAGTTGTCCCATCTACAGCTGTGAGACAGACAGGATTTTCATTTCCAGATGCCTGGCCTTTCCTCCGCTCACTTGTTCTGTCTACGTGATTGGGACGTCACTAGGGCCCTCTTTCATTCAATCAATGCGTATTTTCTCAGCACCTCCTGAATATTAGGCTCTGTGCTGGACTTGGAGGGGACAGAATGGAGAAGACAAGACACCTGTCCTCAAAGCAGTATTACAGCCAGGTGGTGGCGCACACCTTTAATCCCAGCACTCAGGAGACAGAGGCAGGCGGATCTCAGAGTTCTAGGTCAGCCTGGTCATCTAGAGAGTTCCAGGACAGCCAGGGCTACACAGAGAAACCCTGTCTCGGGGGTGGGTGTGGGGAAAGAAATATTACAACAGGGAGAGAGCGAGCAACCATGTGTGGAGACCAGGGTGTTGAAGGGCACCGAGGGAGGAGGCCAAGGAAAGTGTGGAGGTTCCAGAGGCTATTTACAGGACTGTTTTCTGAGCCAAATGGCTGCCAGCTGCAGGAATTCCGCTGGACCTGCTGGCCAGAGAGCATCAGAGCTGGGCTTGTTGACTCTTCGAAAAGGTGTAGGGGGTCTCATAGGACCCTTACCCAAGAATCCAGCCACCTTTTCTGTGGTGATTTGAATGTAATTGGTCCCCATAAGCTCATAGGGAGTAGCACTATCAGGAGGTGTGGCTTTGTTGGAAGAAGTGTGTCACTGTGGGGGTGGACTTTGAGGTCTCATGTGTGCTCAAGCCACGCCATGTCTCAGTTCACTTCCTGATGCCTGTGGATCAAGATGTAGGAGTCTCAGAGGCTGGAGAGAAGGCTCAGTGGTTAAGATGCTCTTCGAGAGGACCTGGGTTAAATTCCCAGCACCTACGTGGCAGCTCACAACTGTCTCTAACTCCAAGATCTGACACCCTCACACAGACATACATGCAGGCAAAAGACCAATGCAAATGAAATAAAAGCAAATAATTTTTTAAAAAAGGTTTAAAAAAAAAAAGAAGTAGGATTCTCAGCTCCACCTCCAGCACCACGTGTGGCTGCACGCCACCAGGTTTCCTACCATGATGATAATGGACTAAACCTCTGAAATCGTAAACCACCCCAGTTAAATGGTTTCCTTTGTAAGAGTTGCCATGGTCGTGGTGTCTCTTCACAGCAATAGAAACCCTAATTAAGACGCCTCCTAAGTTGCTGTATGCAATTCTGCCCTAATCGCACATGGCCTGGGGG